AAGCCATTAAACCATAAATTGTTTTTTATTTTTTTTTAGAATGTATAAATTTATGTATGAATTAGCTTGTGTCAATATAGGTGTAGAATTGTTATCAGATAAGCTGAGAAAGAACTATTTGTAGAAGAAAAGTGGATGTGAAGAAAAAAAAAAAAAGGGGAGAGAAACTATATCTGAAAAGCGTTCTATTTTTGTTTTTTTGTATTTGTTTATTTTTGATTAGTAAGCATAATTATAAATCTTGGAATGTTCATGTCGCAGATGTTGGATGTTAGGATGAGAAACTGGAATAAAGTATGTGATTAATGTGAAGAGTGTCGACCTTTTAAGGCGGAACATCTCTTACAACATTTATAAGTATCCGAAAAGCTTTCTATTTTTACTTTTTATTTGTTTATTTTTAATTAGTAAGTATAATTATAAATGTAGGTATGTTCATGTCGCATATGTTAGATATTAGGATGAGAAATTAGAATAAAGTATGTGATTAATGTGAAGAGTGTCGACCTTTTTAAGGCGGAACATCTCTTACAACATTTATAACTACTTTGAGAGTATTTAATTTTGAGGAAAGATAAAGGAGGGAGAAGAAGAAAAAGTATTGTGTGAGGAATGTCGACCTTGATGGAAGGCGGAGCTTTCCCTACAACACATTTTATCTGGATATAGGAGTTCTCTTTTCTTTTTAACAACTAGTATGTACGTAGGTAGTGTTATTATGATTACTATTACTATGAATAACGGTTATTGGTTTAACTAACTATTTGAATGGTATGTTTTGTTTCATTTATAGACTTTCCTAGTGCTCTACTAGTTAAGATACTCTCTTTAATTATTCTTTTTCTCCAGTCACTTTCGTATGCTAACGTTTCGGTTTTAGAAAAATCAAAACTATGTTTATATTTCATAATATGTTCAACTAGTTTAGAGTCGGATGATAATGTTCTTATCTTAGCTTCATGTTCTTTCATGCGGGTCTCCTTTTTTCGGCTAGTTTCTCCGATATATATTTTATCACAATCTTTACATGGAATAGAATACACTAGTTTCTTTTGCTTTTTATCTTCATCTATTCCTTTAAGTTTTGGTAGAAAAACACTTCTTAAGCTCATATGTTTCTTATATGCGAATTGAATTTTTACGTTAGGAATTAATTTTTGGCATAATTTCTTTACTCGAGAAGCAAATATAGCAGATTCTTGTCCATAGTATTTAATAGTAAAGAAAATCACATTTTTGTTTTTATTCTCATCTTTCTTAGTATTCGCCAATGATTTAATGAGTATCTCTCCTTCAGTAATCCCTCTTTTTATAATATGTGGTGGATATCCATTATTTGTCAATGTTTTTCTTAGTAGATCTAGTTCTTCCTTTATTGTTTCTTTAGTTGAACAAATTCGGTAGATACGTATTACTAGCGTTTTTATAAGTCCTAGTTTATAACGACGACTCTGATTACTATCCCATAACAAATATAAGCCTGTATGAGTTGGTTTTCGATACATTGATGTAATTAGTTTATCTTCTAGTTGAGTTACTCGAACGTCAAGAAATGGGATGGAATTTTTAGCTTCAAATTCAACAGTGAAATGTAAATTCTGATGCCACTTATTAATGCGTACGTGAAATTCATCAATTTTTTCTTTTGAAATAGTAAATATACAGAAAATGTCATCTACATATCTTAGCCAAGTCATAGGTTTGTTGGTACTAAATCGATTCAATTTTTCTTCTATCTTTTGCATCCATAAATCGGCAATGATAGGTGCTAGAGGATTACCCATCGCTACTCCATCTATTTGTCTATAAATTTTATTTTGAAATCTAAAAGTTGAGTCTCTTATTGATAGATTCAAAAGCATTTTCATTTGTTCTTTATCAAAAGGAACATCTACTAATTTTGTTGGTTTATAAATATAGTTCAGTGTTACTTCTATTGCTTCTTCAACTGGAACATTAGTATATAAACTTTCTACATCAAAACTACACATAGTGTAAGTTTTTCCTTTTTCGAGTGTTATTTCTTTTATTCTTTTAACGAATTCGAAAGAATCTTTTATATAGGATTTAGCTTGTGGACGCGCATTTCTAATCGCTTTTGCTAGATATTTTGATAATTCATATTGATAACTACCTATAGTTGATATTATAGGACGTATAGGATAACCAGTTTTATGTGCTTTCGGAAGACCATAAAAGACTGAAAGTGAGGAACATGTCGATTGTAGTTGATATCGACGTTTATTATCTATGACTCCTTTTTTAAATAACGAAAAAATATATTTATTCAATTTTTCTTCTTGTTCTCGGTGAAATTTATCATTATTTAATGGTTCAAATTGTTTTCCTTTAAGTATTTCCTCAGCTTTTTTTATGTATGTTTCTTTATCAAGTATTACGATAGAATTTCCTTTATCGGCTTTACATATAATTATATTATTATTAGATTTGAGTGATTTTAACGCTGCTAGTTCTTCCTCTGATAAATTACTTATTTTCTTATGTTTAGATGTACGTATTAACTGTTGTGACGCATTATGAATCTGATGACAAATAGATCGAAAGATTGATTCATGACAATGAGGTTGTAGTTTCATTGCATTTAATTCTAAATCTGTTTCAAAATCTAAGAAATTCGTTACTTTATTCTCTACACAAAAATCCCAACCACGACATAATAATCTTTCTTCTACCTTTGAAAGAGTATATGATGATATATTATGAATTAATTTTAATTTCATTTCTTCGTAATTTTGTCCAATAGGACCTCTATTTAATTTTTCAAGCTTTTTTTGGTGATTACTCATAACTGCAGAATGTACTCGACATGCTGAATTATAAAAGAACTTCTTTACATTAATATAATCGACTGAAGAAAGATGTTTTTGTAACTCAGTCATGATTAATGAAATTTGTTTTTCGAGTCGGCTAACTTGTTTTTGTCTACACTCGAATTCACGCATAAGACAAGTACGTTGAAGAGATTTATATTGTTCTGACTTTTTAAGACCAGGTTTCCACAAACGGATATTAACAAAATGGGGCATTAAATTATAGATTAAACAACAACGAAGGAATTCGACATCACATTTAGCTTTTTGTAATTTTTCTGTTAATCTTTCACAATGTCGTATACTTACCAGAATCGATTCGCCATATTTTAAGCGAAGATTAGAAATAAATTTAGGAGAGTGAGCAGTAGGAAAAAGATATGAAAATAAAGAGATAACTGCTGCAAAAAGCATATTTTTTTAAATATATTTATTTCAAACAGAAATAAAAAAGATTCAAGCTTTCGTGTTACATTCAGTGACACATCATCAGGAATGACAATAGAAAATTATTTATTCTATTTATATAGCAAGAAGAAAGAGAAAAGAACAACATCAAACGAACATTTTTTCAGCATATAAGAAAAAGAACAATTCATACGATGAATGATCAATGTCAGTAATAACAATCAAATAGTCAATACCGTTAATGATAATCAAATGATCAATGCCGGTAATAACAATCGAACGGAGTGACATGTTCTTTACCACTTGAATATTTTTATTTCTTATTGAAAAAGGGATTATGTTAGAAATAAGTAGTTAATCAAAAACTCATTTTATATTTTACACCAGTTTCATTTCATCAGTCGATTCTTTATAATACACTCGTTTTCTTGGTTAAAGTTATATAAAAATTTTAAAAAATACAAAGTGAAACATGCGAATAACTCTTTTTTAAATTGATAAAAAAAGAACAAATATATGATTTTTAATTACATTCAATATGTTGCATTAAAAACAAATATTTATGTTACTTTCAATTCATTTTAAAAATCAAATATATGTATAGAAATTCTAATGAATGTTATGTAAATCAACTATTATTTGTTACTGTCATTTGACATTATAAAACTCAAATATTCATATTTCTTCCATTTCATAGTTTAGTAACAAAACGTCTATATTAATATCATCAACGCTATGAAAATCAAATGGTGATATTAATTTGAATTAATATGTTCAAAAAAGTCAAATAGTTATATGAACTCAAAATCATATTGTATAATTCAAATATTTTTATCAATTTCAATTGACATTTTAAAAGCCAACAATCTATTGTATTTGAAATCAATATAATTTAGATAAAATTTTTATATGAATTCAATTTTGTATTATGAAAAGTAGAACATTTACATTAATATCAATGAATAATCGACAAACTTAATGGTTATATTAATTTTAGTTCACACTAGAAAAAAATCTCTATATTAGTTCCAGTTTATACCAGAGCAATCAAGTGTTGATATCAATCCTGGTTAACGTCTTAAAATCCAATATTTATATCAATTTGAATTGATATCTTAAAAAATGAAATGCTTATATTGAACCCAATTAATAATATTATAAATATCAAACATCTTTTTTTTTCATTCCTCTTGACATTAGAAAAAATTAGATATTTATATCAATAGGAATTCATATATTCATAAGAAAACAAGTATTTTACTTGTTACCAATACTATAATAGAAATACAATATTTACAATCATTTCAATTGTTATTTAAAAAGTTAGATATGTATATTAATTATATTTTATTTTATTAAAATGTTATATTTATATGAATGTACATGAATATTTAAAAATAAACTAGTGATATCAATTCCAAGTGATAGTCTCAAAAGGTAACTTTTGTTTTTTTTTGATTGAATTCATAATTCTAAAATCGAACATTCATAATAAATCAAAAGACTTATAAAAGTAAAATATCTACATTAGTTTCAAGTGATTTTGTAAACGACAGGCTTTTCTTCGTGAAAAGTAATGAGAGAAATGATGAAAAGCTGATCAGTGAATGTTGATGTCTGTTGTCAATCAATGTCATTTTTCTTCCATGTGCGAGTAGTTCATTAAATTTTTTTTCATCAAAGCCATATTTAAAAAATAAATCAAGATGACAATGACCATCGTACAAAGGTAAGGTTAGTGGCATATGGTAATTCTTTTTACATGAACAAATGTTGTAAAGGCTATTTTCACAAATAGCAGCCATTTGCATTATGCGAATTTCAAGTATGACAAGAATTAAATGAATTGAAAAAACAACAAAAATCAATTATTATATTGTTTCATTCAACCACACACAACGAAACATTATATCCGACAGCTAATGATTAGCGATTCATCATAGATCATTCTTTTTTCGTATAATCACCATTATCAGTATCATAGAAAAACAATAAATTAACAACTCATCAAGAGTATGTCTACTTCATCAATCTGCCAATTAACACCAAAACAATCAATCTAGTTAAAAAAATAATTGATAAATACTCATCACGGTATTACATATATTCCATTCGCTAAACAAGAACGTTCCAACATATGAAATAGACCTCTCACAACTCCACCTTCACCATTTCATTCGACAATTATAGGAACTCTTGTTATTTACAAAATCACTTGAAACTAATGCAGATATTCTACTTTTACAATAGTCTCTTGAATCATTATGAGTGTTTGATTTTAGAATCATGAATTCAATTAAAAAAAAAGCAAAAGCTACCTTTTGCAAATATCAATTGGAATTGAGACCACTATTTTATTTTTCGATATTCATTTGCATTCATATAGATACTACATTTAAAAGAATAAATTATATTTAACATGCATATCTAACTTTTAAATACCGATTGAAATGATTGTAAACATTGTATTTCTATTACAATATTGATCACAACTAATATATATGTTTTCATCTCAGTATGTTAATTATTATTCAAATAGATATCTAATCTTTTTCTAAAATCAACAGGATTAATCAAATCGGTTAATCTTTTTTTTTCCCAAAAAACTCTTCTCCGTCTACAAATACTTCTTTCTCAGCTTATCTGATAACAACGTCTGATAACAACGTCTGATAACAATTCTACACCTATATTGACACAAGCTAATTCATACATAAATTTATACATTCTAAAAAAAAATAAAAAACAATTTATGGTTTAATGGCTTTTTTTTTGATGATCCTAANTCGAACGTCAAGAAACGGGATGGAATTTTCAACTTCAAACTCAACAGTGAAATGTAAGTTACGATGCCACTTATTAATACGTTTATGGAATTCATTAATTTTTTCTTTAGGAATAGTGAATATACAGAAAATGTCATCTACATATCTTAGCCACATCATCCGTTTGTTAGTACTAAATCTATTTAATTTTTCTTCTATCTTTTGCATCCATAAATCTGCAATAATAGGTGCTAGAGGATTACCCATCGCTACTCCATCTATTTGTTTATAAATTTTATTTTGAAATCTGAAAGTTGAGTCTCTTAGCGATAGATCTAAAAGTGTTTTCATTTGTTCTTCATCAAAAGGAACATCTACTAATTTTTTTGGTTTATCGATATAATTTAGTGTTACTTCTATTGCTTCTTCAACTGGAACATTAGTATATAAACTTTCTACATCAAAGCTACACATAGTGTAAGTTTTTTCTTTTGCTAGTGTTATCTCTTTTATTCTTTTTACGAATTCGAAAGAATCTTTTATGTATGATTTTGCTTGTGGACGTGCATTTCTAATTGCTTTTGCTAGATATTTTGATAATTCATATTGATAACTACCTATAGTTGATATTATAGGACGTATAGGATAACCAGTTTTATGTGCTTTTGGAAGACCATAAAAGACTGAAAGTGAAGAACATGTCGATTGTAGTTGATAGCGAAGTTTATTATCTATGACTCCTTTTTTAAATAATGAGAAAATATATTTATTCAATTTTTCTTCTTGTTCTCGGTGAAATTTATCATTATTTAATGGTTCAAATTGTTTCCCTTTAAGTATTTCCTCAGCTTTTTTCATATATATTTCTTTATCAAGTATTACAATAGAATTTCCTTTATCGGCTTTACATATAATTATGTTGTTATTAGATTTTAGTGATTTTAACGCTGTTAATTCTTCCTTTGATAAATTACTTATTTTCTTATGTTTAGATGTACGTATTAACTGTTGTGAAGCGTTATGTATCTGACGACAAATAGATCGAAAAATTGATTCATGACAATGAAGTTGTAGTTTCATTGCATTTAATTCTAAATCTGTTTCAAAATCTAAGAAATTCGTTATTTTATTCTCTATACAAAAATCCCAACCACGACATAGAAGTCTTCCTTCTGCTTTCGAAAGTGTATAAGATGATAAGTTATGAATTAGTTTCGATTTCATTTCTTCATAATTTTGTCCAATAGGACCTCGATTTAATTTTTCAAGTTTTTTTTGGTGATTACTCATAACTGTAGAATGTACTCGACATGCTGAATTATAAAAGAACTTCTTTATGTTAATATAATCGATTGAAGAAAGATGCTTTTCTAACTCAGTCATGATTAATGAAATTTGTTTTTCGAATCGGCTCGCTTGTTTTTGTCTACACTCAAATTCACGCATAAGACAGCTACGTTGCAGAGATTTATATTGCTCTGACTTTTTAAGACCAGGTTTCCACAGACGGATATTAACAAAATTAGGCATTAAATTATAGATTTAGCAACATCGAAGAAATTCTACATCACATTTAGCTTTTTGTAGTTTTTCTGTTAATCTTTCACAATGTCGTATACTTACCAGAATCGATTCGCCATATTTTAAGCGAAGATTAGAAATAAATTTAGGAGATTGAGCAGTAGGAAAAAAATAGGAAAAGAA